TATATATATATATATATTATTAAAAGCCAAAGAAAAAGGCACCGCATTAATCCAAGTGGTAGCCTAGAAAAAAACCACATGGCATAATTAGTTAATAACAAAGAAATTATTTATTAAAAATTAACAAATAAATTAACTACCTAAATAATCTACTCAAAAATGGGTGAGGATTGGTTCAGGATAGTTACTTTCTTTATTTTATTTTTTAAAATTATTTTCGTTTTTCTTTTTTGATATAAAAAGTGAATTTAATATTAAAATTCAAACAATTATTATTGAGAAAAATATAATAAAATTTAAAATAAAAAAATATTTTCAACAGTAATAAATATATATATCTTCTATTATATTACAAAAAAAATTAGTAGACAAAAATATTAAATAGGTAATATGCTAATAATTTCTATTAACAATATAATTATACTAAATATTGGATAATATAATAAACAAAAATACATAACAAAAAAGTTATTTGATGAGTAAAAAAGGTTTGTCTGCTAAATTTTCTTAAAAAAATAAAAGTTATTTGATGACTATATAAGTCTCTTTAATTCAATAGAGATTTTATTCATTAAAATTCATACAATATCTATTTTATTTATATATAATAGGAGAAGCAAATTATTGTGATAATTCCAAATGTAACATCAAAAAATTAACATAGTGTCAAATTTTAGGACAAAGCTCCAACAAATTTGAAGATTCAAAATTTATTTACAAAAAATGATTAAAAAAGACACAACAAAATTAACTACCTAAAATTAACTACTCAATATGGGTGCTATAATAAAGATAAATACAAAACAAAAAAGTTATTCGATGACTACATAAGACCCTTTAATTTAATCGAGAATTTGTTAATTAAAATTCACACAATATTATTGGGAACAATAGAATAAAATTTAAAATAAAATTATTTCAAGAGTAATAAAATATATATCTTCTTTATATTACAAAAATAAAGTAACAGAGAAAAATATTAAATAAAGTAATATGCTAATAAAAATTCCTATTAACAATGTAATAATACTAAATATTGGATGATATAATAAAGAAAAATACATAACAAAATGTTATTCGATACCTGTATAAGTCCCTTTGGTTTAATAGAGATACCATTCATTAAAATTTAGATAATATTATTAAGAATAGCATCATAAAACATAAAATAAAAAATATATTTCAACACTAATAAATTATATATCTTCTCTTATATTATAAAAAGAAAGCAAATAGACAAAAATATTAAACAAAGTAATATTCTAATAAATTTTTTCTATTAACAATGTAATAATACTAAACATTGGATAATATAATAAAGAAAAATATAGAACAAAAAACGTATTTACTGACTATACAAGTACTTTTAATTTAATAAAGATTTTATTATTAAGTATATCGCATTGACAAATAAGATGACAATTGAAATTTATTAAAGCAATACGATCTAATAGGATCAAACAAGCCCGATCACAATTTAATTTAATTAATATTTTTCAATATTGATCGCGCATGATAATGGTTCATGCTAGTAGCTAGTAGTGATTTGTAGTGGCGATTATGATTGGGGATGGTGGTGGTGGGTGATGATAGTTAATAATGTCGGGTGGTGGTTTGTGATGGAGGAAGATGGTGGTAGGTAGGGGTGTTCATAAAAATCCGAAAACCCGAACCAAACCGAAAACCAAACCAAACCGATACTTTTTGGTTTGGTTTAGTTTTGGTTTTGAAATTTTAAAACCGATCAAATTTGGTTTGGTTTTGGTTTTAATAAAAAAAAAACGAACCAATCCGAATATAGAAGTAGCTATTTTAAATTTATTATTACACTTATATATATATATATGTATTTTTTTTATACACAATTTCAAAATTTTTATAGTAAATGTTAATCGTTTGCACTTTTAGTACAGGTCTTTACTTTTACATTCTAGTTTGATTGGTAGTTTTCTTTTGTTAAGTGTAAGAATCTATTTCATGTTAAAAATAATATATTTTTAATTGAGTCCTTAAATTATTCATCACTATTTGATTCAATTATCATCAATATATCTTGGTAAATAATAGATTTCTCAAAGGGCAATTGATTTGATAGTGTTACGTTGAAAATGTGATCGCCGAAATATGTGTTTGGTAGTGTATGTCTTATATTTAAGAAAAAACCGACAAATAACCGAAAAAACTGAAAAACCGACAGAATCAAGAAAAACCGATTTAATTGGTTTGGTTTGGTTCTAATATTTGAAAAACCGACTAACTTGGTTTAGTTCTTTTTACGGAAAAATCGACCCAAACCGAACCATGAACACCCCTAGTGGTAGGTTATAATGATGGGCGGTGCTGGTTGTGGTTGTTAATGGTGATGAGGTGGTTGGTTGTGGTAGTTGAGGTGGATAAGTGTTGACTGTGGGTGAGAATGAAAGTGGTCGGAGTGGTGGGGATGGTAGATGGTGATGGTCGATAATGGTGGCGGCTATGATTGAGGATGATGGTGGCGTGGTGGTGGTGGTGGCATGATGGTAGTTGATAATGGTAGGCGGTGACGACAGTTAATAATGAGTATGTGATAGTATTTTAATGAAATTAAGTCTCTGTTATAGATCTTAATCACACAAACCTATTTAGACCCATTAAGTGATTGTAAAGTAAAAAAAATAAATACTTAATGATTAAAATCTGAATAATTAAGATTCAAATTTTAAAAACAAACAAATTTAATGTATGATGTCTGAATGATTAAGATTAAGACCTCCATCAAGTGCAAACAAATGATGCCCAAGGAAACTTTTGTAGTTGCTTCCATGAATTTAGTTTCCAATTATTTGGCAGTTAACATATCCAATTTAATAAAAGGTAGTAGAGACATTTTATGCTTTATATATTAAAACTTTTCCTATAAAAATAGATAATAATATTTGGTCATATCTTATTTACAGCGGTAACTCCTGTTTTATCCAATTTCTTTTACTGTCTTTCACTCGGACAGTTTCCAGAAATGGTTACAGTTACAAAAATTGTCAGTAAGCAGAAGACCACCAACGCCATTTTCCATTCATGAACCCTTAAATTGTTGCTCCCACTCAAATATCTTAACAAACCCACGTTCACATTATTTGTTAATCAAATGCCTCTTCAATTTTCATCACATTACTGGAATCGGTAGCTGACTCATTGCTTCCTTCTCCCTCTGTTTCTACACCTTTTTTTTTCTGGTATTTTTTTTGCTAGCAATCCCATTTTTTGTTTGCTTCTTTTGAAGATATTACTGTTTCAATGAGTTTATGTGAAATGCTTTGAAGTTTTCTGAATTTTTACTAATTTTTCCCACTTTTCCCCCTTTTTCGGGCTCTTCATTTCTTTGCTGAGTATTTTGCATTTTTGCATTTTGTGAACTGTTTTTCATACTTTTTGCATATTTGTTTATGGTAGGAAAGCAGCTGGTTGTGTGGTGTGTGGTGTGTGGTGAAGGATTAACTATCATCTAGTTCCCTGAAGTGGAAACGTGGAAGTTCATTCTCAAAATCGGCATGGTTTAGTTCCTTATTCTCTGCTTTTTCCTAGCATGATAAACCCTAATGTGCTCTAAATTCTTTGTCTGTTGTAGCTTAGCTTCACTTTGTTTTCTGAAATATTTTTAATTTTTAATTCTAGGAATAATCCCTTTATTCTACTCCACCACCTTTTCTGGGGGCCCCTTTGGTAAATGGGTTGTGAATATGTTAAGGGCTATCTAGAATTTGAATCTTCTTCAGCTGACATTTTACTTATTGTTTTTTTGGTTTCCCACCCGGCGTCCGGTATCCGCATTGGAGTCCGACTATATAAAAGTCTCATCCACTGCACCACATCCTTTGGTGGTGACATTTTACTTATTGTTATTGGTATATTTTGTATACAATGTAGTCTAAACATCGAGGGCGGATGTAGAGTGTAATGTCTTTGGCTCGGACCCCGTATATGTGTTAAAAAATTCACTATAAATAAGTACAAATACTGATTTCGAGCCCAGTAAGTCACTGGAGTTGTGGTAGAATCCAAACTTGAATCCGCATAGTTCAAGTTCTAGATCATACCGGGTTCGTACTTTTTGCTCTTGGAGAAAATAGAAGTTTCAGTCATTATCATTTAGAGTTTTAGGCTAAGATAGCAAGAAAGGCCCCAAGATGAATATCCATCAAGGTCATTAACAGAATTTGGTTAGAAAAATGTCACATGACCCGTGTGACCTTTTTTTTATTTTTTATTTTTATTATTATTTTTTTCTTAAAATTGTTTCTTGTCTTTTTAATTTGAGTACTCATATGTGAAGCTCAAAATTTTGTCTCACTTCTCATTCACCACATAAAAGCAAATTAGTTAGAAGATACTTAACCAAAAAGATTTTAACAATGTAAGTACCGAAAAACAACTCACACTTAAAACTGGTAGAGAATCAGAATGTTATCCAACTTTCAATGATCATAGTATGTCACATAAAGCTTTTGCTTCTCCGTTATCTATTAATTCTAATATAAAGTATTTGTTGTTTCAGCATTTCAACTAGCCAAAACAAGGATTCATTCATTTGGTGGAGGATGGTGTCACTTTCAAATAATGGTTTATCCGATGAATGCATGAAGAAGCGGCCATCAGAAAATGGTTATCACACCTTGCATTTTGGCGTTACTCCAAAACATAAAGTTCGAAAAGTCTGGGCTGTGCGGGATTTCCCCTCAGGTTGTTGTAGAAATGCTCCAAAAATTGACTTGAGCCACAAGGAAAATGCTGTGGTCACCATCAGTGAAAATATAGCGGATAAGCTGGTGGCTCATGGTGGGAATGGTCCTAACAACGGGATTGAGTTCTGTTCTGTTGAAGTTGTGGACTGTCTCTCTAACATCCAAGAGAATGAAGAATTGGATAAGTTGGCCGAGAACGCATTAGCCAAAACCACGAGTGTGGTAGAAAACAGGGTGGAAGAACCAACAAGTCATGCCAGATCTCTTGGATTTGAGTTGTCTAAAGATATTGAAAGTAGTGAAATGTCATTGCTCAAGAAAGCAAAAGTCATTCAGTGTGATGAATTGGTGAAGGAAGTTGATGGGGAGAGAAGTTCAATTTTGGTTAAAAATGTGGTCAGTATGACTGATGGGGCAATTCCTGTTTGTGATGTGAAAACTTTCTCACCACCTCAGTGGCCAGTCAAGAATGGAAATGCTGCAGATAACAGTTCCTCCTTGCCAAAGAATAAGTACTGCCAAAGAAGAGTCTTCGCTGTTCGTGACTTCCCTCCATTTTGTGGAAGAAATGCTCCTATGCCAACTGAACAAGATCGCTTGGGTGGTAATGAAGCAAGCAAGAGAGTGGTTGTGCTCGATAAGGAAGTTACAGAAAATGAATCGATTGAGACGTCGAAAAATGTTATGGGTACTGGGACATCGCACATGAAGTTGACTGCAAGTCAAGAAGCTGATTCTTTGAGTAAGATAGAGGTTACTGGTTCCAAATGTAGCTTAATGGAACGAACAACAGTTTGCATTGAAAATCCCGAAGGTGTCCATGACAGTTATATTGGGAGGAGCCAACTTGAAAGAACTATAATTTTGCCAGAGACAGTGACGAAAAAGGAGAATGATGATGCAGGAAAAATTGTGGGGAAGGAGAATATCGTATATTCACAGAATGAGTGTGAAAAGGCTACTACTGCAAGGCATGCTCTTGGTTCTGTAAATGAAAATATTAGGCCAATTGTGCATGATCTGATGGCAGAGCCATACTGTCCCTGGAAGCAGATGAATCAAACTAGTTTAGATGGTGTGACGAGGAGAAACCAAGTTCAAAAGCCTAACATGCATCGGCAGAAGAAATCCTTAGCTGTTGCCAGAAAAAGTATTCCTAAAACAAAATTTTCACGGAGACAATTTGGCAGGACTAAATCAGGTTTCATTGGTGAAGCTGCAGAAGGATATTCAAATGCACTGGTTGCCAGCAACGGTAGAGCATGTGGTTTGAATAGGGAGGCACTACCTGAAGAATCTCCAATTGGACGGGGGCACCGTGAATTTAATGTGAATCTGCCCCCTTTTGGTTCCAGCAGCAATGATGCTCGTAGTAAAGTCAGAGAGACTCTTCGTCTGTTTCAGTCTATTTGTAGAAAAATCTTGCGAGGGGAAGAATCAAATGGAGAAGTAAAACCTAAGCAAAAAGATAAAAAGAACAGAAGGATTGATATTCAAGCATCGAATTTTATCAAAGAAAAAGGGAAGGAAGTTAATACAGGACCCCGGATACTGGGAGAAGTTCCAGGAGTTGAAGTAGGAGATGCGTTCCAATACAGGGTTGAACTTGCTCTTGTGGGAGTTCATCGCTTATATCAAGCCGGTATTGATTTCCTGAACAATGGAGGAATGCTGGTTGCAACTAGCATTGTTGCTTCAGGGGGCTATGACGATGATTTGGGAGATGCTGATGAGCTGATTTATTCTGGGCAAGGTGGAAATTTGACTGGCAAGGACAAAACCCCCGAAGATCAGAAACTTGTGAAAGGTAATTTAGCCTTGAAGAATAGTATAGCTACAAGGAATCCTGTTCGGGTGATTCGTGGATCTAAGGCTGAATCCACAGATGGAAGAGCTAATTTGGTGACGACTTATGTGTATGATGGCTTGTACACTGTTCAAAATTATTGGGCAGAACGAGGGTCACATGGTAAGCTGGTCTTTATGTTTAAGTTGGTGAGAATTCCCGGACAAGCAGCGCTTACTTGGAGAGAAGTAAAGTCATCAAGAAAGTCCAAAGTGCGGCATGGTGTTTGTGTTCCTGATATTACAGAAGGAAAGGAGTCATTGCCAATAACTGCTGTGAATACAATTGATGGTGAGAAACCCCCACCATTCAATTACATCAAGAAGATGATATATCCGGATGGTTTCCACCCTGCTCCACCTAAAGGCTGTGATTGTATTGGTAGATGTTCTGATGCCAAGAGGTGCTCATGTGCAGTTAAAAATGGAGGCGAGATCCCATACAACCGCAATGGGGCTATTGTTGAAGTTAAGCCTCTTGTGTATGAGTGTGGTCCTTTATGTAAGTGCCCTCCTTCGTGCTATAATAGAGTGAGCCAACATGGTATTAAAATTCCGCTGGAGATCTTCAAGACAGATACAAGGGGCTGGGGTGTGAGAGCTGTAACTTCTATCTCTTCAGGAACCTTTATCTGTGAGTATGTAGGAGAAATTCTTGAGGACAGAGAAGCCGAACAAAGAATTGGTAGTGATGAATATCTTTTTGATATTGGAAAGAACTATAGTGATTGTACTGCTAACTCTTCTGGACAAGCAGACCTAAATGAATTAGCAGATGAGGGTGGTTTTACCATTGATGCAGCGCACTATGGAAATATTGGACGATTTATCAATCATAGTTGTTCACCCAACTTGTATGCACAGAATGTTGTTTATGATCACGAGGATAAGAAAATGCCTCATATCATGCTATTCGCAGCAGATAATATTCCTCCCTTGAAGGAGCTTTCTTACCATTACAACTATGCTGTGGATCAGGTTTATGACTCTGATGGCAAGATCAAGGTGAAGAGGTGCTTTTGTGGATCTTCAGACTGTACTGGTAGGATGTACTAGGATTCGTAAAGTTCCGCTACTGTAGTTGAATGGAAGAATTACTCATATGTCATTGTCTTTTTTTCCCTCTGCAATAGTATTTCTTCTTGTTTAGTCTGAGATGCTATGTTATTATGTGCATGCCGGTTGTTCATGGAAACATAAGCTTGTATAGGCTGACTACTCTTATGTAATGGAGCTACAACTTTCTTCTGTACCTACTGCTTCTTGTTGATTCCATCAATGAAACTTCTTACTTCACCAGAAGAAGCTTGTATAGGCTGACTAGTGTGATCCCATTCGGAACCAGACATTTTTGCACCAGTACTCGGCCTTTTTGTTTGATCTTTTAGACAACTTTATGAATCGGTTAATTTGCTTTCTCATCTCCTAATTACATGAATCAGGTTTCACTTTACTCTTTTCAGTTGCCAAGAATAGCATTTTACATCTCTAGTGGAGGATGCAGGATTTCTGCGGTTGACATGTAAGGAAATGTCAAGACAAACTGCACGAATAACACAAGATACGGCAATGTTTTATTTCATATTCTCTTTACAACAATACACGAATTTCAGCCTTATTATTAACAAACAAACATTTGGTTAAACCACAATGGCTGATGACCTACACAAACTTCATTTGACTCCAAACCATAACAGAGAAATTACAAACTAGCGAATTATATATACTTGTTCAAGGAATCTGAATGTCAGTTTCATAGGCAGATCCAGCCTTCCAGTGATCAGGGATAACAGTCTTGTCAGACTGCACCCATTTGGTTTTTCCATCTTCTTTTATTTGGATCTTCAGCTTCAGATTTCCCTTTGGTGGGTTGGACAAGTCGAATACTGCTCCATATGACCTCCTCATTGCTATCCATTTGTGGCTTTTTTCCTGTGTATATCAACCCATAATTTTAATATCAAAAACTAAGAATAATTTATTCATACGTATTCAATCAATTCATTTTAGTATATTCTTTTGTTCAATGGTCGGTATCCATTTTCCAAATTAGAGCTTATACATATTAATAGCTAGCTACTCAATTGCTTAAACTAAGAATGCCTAGGGGCGGCCCTTCCCTAAAGCAGGTAAAACAACTGCTTTAGACCTCACATTTGTGGGGCTCTATTGTTTTTTATTACACCTAATCGGCTATATATAAGTTAAAAAGAAATTTCGTGAATGGAAAAAGTAAAATTACATGGGAAGTTGTATAAAAAGAGAAAACAAATTTGACCTATATTGTCAATTGAGAAAGACTTATTAAAAGAAATTGATTATAAGATAATTATTAATAACTTTGCATCTAAAAAAGTAGAAAAATAGACTTCAAATAAGATAATAATATTTTTTTTTTAAAAACGTTAAAGGCCCCTCATTAAAGTTTGGCTTTAGGCCACAAAATTTGCCGGGCCGCTCCTGAGAATACACAGTGAATATATAATAATATTTATTATCCATGTATAATCAATGTATAATTTATGTATATCGAAAAGTATATAATGAATCTAACTGGCTATTTGTGTAAAGATTCCAAAATTAATCATCAAATTGAAGTTTAGAAATGGGCATATATAGTAGATATACCTCGTATATTTCTACGGCTAGGATATCAGCGTAACCACCGTTGTTCAATAGAAGTATGGCAAGGTAGCCATTATAGTTGCTATGTTCATTGACCTTGATAATGAGATTGCCATATTTGCAAGAAACTCTTTTGTAATCGACATCGACCACGCCCTTTGGGAACAACATGTGAGCTAACTTAGGATGTTTAGCCATTTTGGCGAAAGCATCTGAGCTTAGAATGAAGTCAGTTCCTGGCCCTTCTCCACTGTCTGTCACCTTCACCTTAACTCCCACGTCACTGCATAGTGCCTTGTCCTTGCACCTCACCTGTTAATATTTCGTGTCGGAAATACTGGGTTAAATTGAAGTTATAGAAGATAATTATTAAACTCTATTCGGCTCTACTTGCAATAAAATCTTATAATCAGCTATATATACTTTGTGAAACACACATGTATAGACTTAGGAAATTTGGGTCCACCATAAAGGTGAAAATAACACGTACTAGACAGTTTTTGGACTGACAATTGAAAAATAGTCAGCGTTTGCAAGTTCATTAAAAAATAGCGACTATTAATTTGCTGAAACACAGAAAGTTCCAGCATAATATAATATGCTGGATTATGGAGCTCATGCGTATAAACTTCCAGCATATTATGGTGAACTCCCGCACATTATGACATTCAACACATTATGTTGGAATCTCATATGTAAAATATTCGAACTCCAGCATATTATGCTAGAATTTTTTCGGATTTTAAGGATATTTTTGTTCAAATTTTATCTTTATGTGAAAAAGTAGCTAAATTCCCATTACTTTCGAAACTGTGACTATTTTTCAATTACCAATTGTAAATCTGGCTATTTCCAACTTTTTTTCCTATATAAGGGAGTGTTTTAAGGCCCGTTAGAGTTATTAGTTAACCTTACTATTCTCTATATAAGTACACTTATATAGTACAATGACTTATATAGTACAATGAAATATACTCTCTGCACTATAGTTTTACGCTCTTTCTTTCTCAATCCCACTCAGGGTTAGGTGGTTACTCCAACATATCGTGATAACCATCGCCGCCCGCCGGTCAGTAATTCCAGCCGCGGTTCGCTTGCTCCCGCTACGAAGAACAAATAATTTCTCTTTTACGTTTTACGCGCTATCTACTTAGCATAGATTAACGTAATCCTTCATAGACTTTAATTATGACGTAAAGTAATATGCAAGTATTTAGTAGTACCTGATAACATGCACCACAACCAACTCCATTCTTATAGAGTTTCCAGGATGCGGCGGTAACCAGCCCATCATTCACATTTCTGCCATACTCTCCATAACCACAAGCTCCACCTGTTCAAATATTGCAAATTCAAATGTTAATAAAGCAGTTATACAAGAAACTAAAAACAGTTGAAGAAACAAGTCAACTTACTTGGTGTTCCTTTGCCATCGGAGGTCTTATAAAATGTAGCTTTGGAATCATAGCTCTGAGTACCATAGCAAAGTGCAGGCAAAAGCAAAATCATGCAGATCATAAGAGTGGAAAAATAGTTGACAGAAATAGCCATGTTTTCTTGTAATTGTGCTTACTAGAAGATAGACTTGAAATGGATGCTAAAAATGTAAAGAAACTAGTTTTTGGATGAAGAGAAGTGCAGGAATGAAAATCCCTATTTATAGTTGAGTGTCCTAAGGGCAACTATTGACTTTACTTCATGGCCAACTTTGTAATAGTCTTAATTAGCTTTAATTTGATACGTAACCAAATATTCAAAGTACCATATGGTTTTGGTCTTCTGACCCAATTATAAAATTTAGATTATCAGATCATGGAAAAATACTTGCTTTCTGATGTTAATTCCCATAGTTTTAAAATAGATTAGCGATACTTGGTGCTAGAACAAGCCATTATTTCTAATTAATCAATGGGTGGCGCTTTCTTTTCTCGCGTACGTTTGCTTGACTATATATTTATCTTAAAATCTGGTTTGGGAACAGCTCATTGTTTGGGAATTTAAGTCATATGTCGTACAGGAATGTCTTTATTAATCTTTATTAATTTATTGTTTAATCGCTAGACTTGTAATTTATGTTTTTTTAGACTAGGCATACACTTCTAATTATAATTTTTGTATAAAATCCCTATTTATAGTTGAGTGTCCTAAGGAAGGTATTGACTTTGTATTAATCTTGGCTTTATCCAAAAATAAATATTCAAAGTACCATATGTTTTTGTGCTTATAAAATATGGATCACACCATGGATTTTTTTTCAATTCTGATTTTAGTGTAAGCTAACAATTTCACGACCTTCTGCAAAACAACAAATAGCTAAAGATGAAAACAACTCATTGATTAGGAGTGTAAAGTCATATGGCATCGAGGAATTAATATCTTTATTTCTTGTTTAATCACTAGACTTGTAATTCAGTAATCAGACTGGCTATAGACTTGTTATAATTTGTGAATGGCATACCACACATGCTATCTTCGAGTTCAAATTGTTTTTCCACATTTTCATGGCTTTTTGTTGAGCTAATGGAGTACTTGGCTTCTAAGCTAAAGCACAAATAGTTACACATAGCAGTAACAATTGTCTATTTAATTTGTTCATTTGGGCCATTTTGTATATTGAGCAATTTTTGTAGTATTTGCATTTAATGGTCACAATATTGCCGGGTTGGCAGTTTTAGGCCCAGATTATAAATAGAGTATGGTGGCTGTTTGTAAGACCGATCGAGTCATTATTCTTTACACTCTAAGAGACAGATAATAAAATAGAGCTTTTTCTCTCTAAAGATACATTCAAAACCCTAATCAAATCCCTTCAATTTCTGCTCATCTCACAATGTTTTCATGGTATCAGAGCAGTGATTCTGGTGCATCTCTAGCTGCTTGTTATTCCGATCCTACCTCGGTCAATTTTGGTTGATTTTCTGGTCTTCGATTGTTAGAAAAATCAGAGATTTTTCTTTCAAAAGGAGCAAAATTTGTGTCGATCTGTACTCTACACCAGTGTTAGGGTTATTTTCTGAAGTTTTGGGTTGAGGCTCGACAAGTGTTCATTTGCTCAGTGTTTGGAGATATGGTTACAAATGTTTTCCTTTATTTGCAGACCGTTCTTCTCCGGTAGTGAAGAAGTTGGGTAAATTCGCTCCTCTTCTTATGTTTAGGACTGCTGCATGTATCTTTGTTTGTTGAAATCTTTGTTGCAATTTTTTCTACCTGTACTCGTCGTTTTGTCGATACCGTGTGATAGCCATGGGATCCACTAATACATTTTCTCCTGATACCTCAAGTATCCTGTTTGTACATTCCTCTGATATTCCTGGTATTTTGTTAGTTCCTACTCCTTTTTTGGGTAGTGATTTTAGGGGTTGGAGAAGGAAGATTATAGTTGCTTTATCTACTAAAAACAAGATAGCTTTTGTTGATGGTATATTCCCTCGACCTGTTACTGCTGGGCCTGAACACAAATTATAGGATAGGTGTAACAACATGGTAATATCATGATTGACAGGCTCATTATCCTCTGAGATAGTTGAAAGTGTGCAATACTCTGAGACTGCTCAGAGTATTTGAGTGCAATTACAAACTAGGTATGAGACTGCAAATAGGACCAAAATATTTGAACTAAAAAAGAAACTTTCCTATACTTCACAGGGTGCATTAGATATAACTTCATACTTTAATAAACTGAAGATGTTATGGGATGAGTTGGGAGTAATGTGTACAAACCATGGGCAAAGATGTACTTGTGCTGCAAAGCCTGGTATTCTGCACGAGGATGAGGAAAATAGGTTATTTCAGTTCCTCATGGGGTTAAATGAAACATGTATGAGGGTAAGGAGTAATCTTCTTATGATGCAACCTCCACCTATCCTTGACAATGCTTATAACATCCTTCCTAATGATGAAAAGTAGAGGCAAGTCCAGTTCTACTTTCAGTTAAACACTGACTTTATGTCCTTCAATATTAGTACATGGATTAAGCATGGCTTTGGTTTTGGTTTTAACCCTAGTGCCACTTCCAATCTTCCTCTTCCCAGACCATATGCACAAAGAATTAACTTTGATTAGAATAGAGCACCCATGTTCTGTAAATATTGCAAGAAATCTGGACATCTGGTTGACAAGTGTTATAAACTCCATGGGTATCCACATAATTCCAAGTTTAACAAGGGTAAAAAGGCTGCAGCTCATGCATCTACTGCAACACCTACTAACTATGAAGGTAGTGTTCTTGAACCTGCTGGCACTTTAGATGAGGGAATCAATGCTGCTTTCAATATTGATGGTCAGGGATCCATTATTCCTGAGCAAGCAGTAATATGATCAGTTGATGAATTTGTTACAATAGTCTCATATGGGGGATTCTTCCAATTTTCAAGCCAATCTCATGTGCTCTGCTAATTTTGCTGGTACTTTGTTAACTGAAAGCCCAGTTTGTGATTCTAAACTTTGCTTGCTTACTCTAATTAATTCTGTCACCTGAATAATAGATTCATGTGCTTATGATCACATGACTTCTAATAAAGAACTATTTTTTGATATTACACCTTTAACTATTCCTTACCTTGTAACTCTTCCTAATAAATACAAAGTGAAGGTGACCTCCACTGGTTCTTTTGCTTTGACTCGTTCAATCATACTTCATAATGTGTTATTCATTCCTTATTTCCAACACAACTTAATTTCGGTTCGTAAGCTAATCAAACAACTACATTGCATAGTGTTATTCACTACTACTTCTTGTCTATTGCATATATTACATGCCCCTTCTCTGAATATACCTCTGGATCTTGGTAAGGAGGAGGATGACCTGTACAAGTTCACTTGGGTGCAACCATCAGATTCTTCATTTTTTTCTACTTCCAATTCATGCAGCACTATTCCTGTATGCCTTGTAGTTGAATCTTGCAAATCTGTTTTTCCTTCTAGTTCCAAGAATGTTTCGAGTACTAGTTCTTCTTTGTGTAATAATGCTGCTATAAATGATATAAACTTTGTTAGTTTGTATGAGTCCACCAAACCGTAGAGTGCCTGGTCCTCTACAAGATTTTGCTGAGAATGCTGATAAAACAGTATGTAAATAAGGCAGAGAATTTTAACGTGGAAAAATACCACCCAAGGGGATCAAAAAAATTACGACCTACACCTGTAGGCTTTTAACTTCACTAACTTGTAAAGAATCAATTACAAGCCACTTTGCAATGACTCCTATTGCAAAATATTTACTCAACTAACTTGTGGTACTCTTACCACAAGCCACTTTGTGACTTCCTAGTTACTTGTGATGTTCTCACCACAAGCCACTTTGTAATTCTATAATTACAAAGACTTTTGCTTATGACTAAATCTAGTCACAACATAAACTTAAGGAGTTTACGAATTTACAAGAGGATTCCTAATCAAACGCTTCTAGGTAAGAAGTTTAGGAGATACAATAAGTACAAAAACAAGGTTACAACTCAACTAGGACAACAACAGGCTATCTTTTAGGAACTGGTCCGTAGTTGCGTTCAACCTTGTTCTTCAAGCTTGTGAGGATTGATTTCTCTGTTTTTGCAAGAAGCTTGAATGAGAAACAGAAACCTTCAAGTGATGTTTTGTATAAAACTCATTGTAGGTACATCTTGATCACATCACTTGACATGATGTGAGTACTTTGTTTGGTTAGAGAATGAGTGGGCGCTGGAGATAGTGCAGTGCGGCAGAAACAGTGCCGTGAGTCACTTTATTTCCAACTATGTCCAATTGACTCTGTACTGCTATGAGGAAACCACAAGAGTTCTTTGTGTGGGTTCCTAGCTCCTGAAGCTGTAGCAGTTCACCTTTAGCTGGAATCCGTTAAAACTTGTAGTAGTCCAAGTAGGTCAGGTTCCCTATCTGGTTCTTAACAATAAGTTTGTTATATTATCAAAACATAAGGCAAAAGTATTTAAAATCTATTAATTTCCCCCTTTTTGATGATGACAAACTTAACATTTATTGATTGGAATTAGGGCAGTAAGAACCAGTTTTAAAGTATCAGGGGAATACAGAGTCCCCCATGAGACTATGCCTTATCGTAATAATAGTTCACATGGTTAGAGAAGTAAGAACCAGTTTAAGTATCAGGGGACCACCGAGTTCCCTTATGTGTTCCCCCTAAGTATGATTTTCCCCCTTTTGGTATCATTAAAAAGAATAACAACACAAAGAAATCCAGTTAAGCTAACTCATGTCATATTTGTGCACACAATCATGACAGAGAATAGAACACAGAAAGAGAGTACTGACATAATAAAATGAGGATTAATATTAATAAAGATTTAATATGCCTCTATTTTTGAAAATGCGAGAGGAAACATTGAACTTGTTAACGGGAGCAATAGTATTTCATCCCAACCACAAAAAAGAACACCAAAATTTCTGCCAAACCATCAACAAAGAACAAAAAAAATATAACAAACATATCCAGAAAACTGGTCACTGAAGGGGTATTTAGAGGGCACTAGTAGTAAAAGGCTTGGTAGTTGCAGCAAGTGTTTGGAGAACAAGGCTTATTCGGGCGTTTGCCGACTTTTTCTCATTGAGTAGTTCTGCTTTCAGGTTCTCTACTTGCGCCCTGAGATCAGCATTTCTGGCCTTCAACCGATGAATTTC